TGGATCATTTATGACTGTTTTTTGTTATTTACTTTTATCTTTGATGTTTTTATGTATTATTTTATTTTCTGTATCAAAACTGTATGAGTGTAAGTTGCTGAATAAATGCATGTCTATGTCTATGTCTATGTCTAATGCAACCGCGATTTCAGCGTGAGTGGCACCACACTCCGGACAAGACAATGGTCCAAGGAGCCTAAAGGGGCGTCGACGGAAATCTGATATCCGTCCGGGTGAGAGGTCAGCAGAAGGTCCAACAGGGAAGGTGCATGATCCTCCACATCTGGAATCCGCGTAGGCGAAGTAACCACTTGTGTCAGACCATATGCCAAGGCAAAATCATGAACAGATCTCCCCGCATGATCGGTTAAACGTGAACCAAGCCATTCGGCGTGATGGGCGTTAAAGTCGCCGAGGGTCACGATCTCTGCGGAGGGGATCTGCTGTAGCAACGAATCTGCAGCCATTTGGACGTGGTCGAAGAGTCGGTCTGTTTCGGCATTACCGCTATGGGACCTCTAAAGGCACCCGTAGACGCGCGGATGGTCGTCGCTGTCTACGCGTAGCCAAAGGATGGACAGGTCCGAACCTTCAAGTCTGCCGAGGCGTCGAGAACAGATGTCCTCTCTGACGTAAACGCAAACTCCAGCCCGAGGTACAAAGGAGTGTTCCAGTTTGTACCCCGGGTAGGATAGTTACGAAACATCAGCCGGAGAGGACACCTGCGTCTCGGTCAGAAAGAGCAGAGCCGGCCTCGCCGTCTCGAGATGGTAGTGGACGGCGTTTAGGTTAGAGTGAAGTCCCCTGATATTGCAGAAATTCACGGACAGCGTGGCAGGGGTCGCCTTGGACTTGTTGCTCCGTTTGCCCCGAGCAGTTGTAGTCTTGCGCGGAATTTTGCCCCCCCCCCCCCCAGAATACGCGGGGCAGCCTGAGCACCCACGCTCAGAAGTGGAGAAACATTGTCGTGGATGCTCAGCGAGGGATTCTCCAGGGGTGCTGGTACCCTCCTGGGGTAGTCTATCATTTAATTCCGCTACCATGTTGATGGGGGGGGGGGGGTATTTGGGCCTCCGGCCACCTGCACTCACCAGACGAAACGCGAAAGCAGAGCTTCCACTTCACGCCGGTATTCTGTGAGGTCGTGGCATCACCCCGGTTTTAGCCGGCCCATACGTGCAACAGCAAAGCTGCCGCGTGGCTCTACCACTTGGAAAAATCTTAGTCTTATATATATTTTAAAAAAAATCTAATTTAATTTAAAAAGAAAACCGACCAGTTTTAAGGCAATATAGGTATTAAATCAAATTTAAATCAGGTAATAATTTATTTATGATGCTCTCAACTACTGAATTTAAAATGATAAAAGGTCGGGATGTGGCTTTGTCGTGGACGCGACCGTGTGTGTTACCTGAATACGTGTACGTAACGAAACAATCACAAGAAGGCGGCGCTCCCTTACCGCCGCGTGATACGGTCCTCACGCGACGTAAATCATTCTTTGATGCTTTAGCTATCGAGTGGCGTAATTAATAAAAAAGGCTCCTCGCCGTGGTAGCGGCGTTAAATATACCACCCCATATTTCGCATCACGACGAATCAAATTAAAGAAATGGTCCGAGTTCCCGACGTTCCTTTAATGGGGCAGGGGTGCGAAGAATCTCCGGGAGGAAAACCGGCGACGAGGTTCGCCACCCGTCACGTTCTGTCTCCCGGAGGGGCGAAAAGTGGATTGCAGAGGCCCGTCTGGCTAAGTTGAATGTATGTGGAGCAATGAATGATAAAATGGATGAAGTATGCGAGGTGATATATGATAGAGGAATAGATGTGTTATGTGTAAATTAGACGAAACGGAAGGGGAAGGATGAGGATGAGACATGGCATGTATACCGCATACTGGTCTGGTGTAGACGAGCTCGAGCGGGCATGCCAGGGAGTAGGTATCATCCTTTCAGAAAGAATGGTCCAATGTGTGAAAGAGTATGAATGTGTAAGCCCAAGACTGCTATGGATACGATTGAAAATGGGCTTAAAGAAGTTGTTTGTGCTAGGGGTCTACGCCCCAGACGTGTCTAAGCCCACTTATATCTGAGAGCAGTTTTGGGAAATGGTAAGGATGGTATTAATGAAATGTAAGGGAAATGAAAATGTTGTTATGCTAGGAGATTTTAATGGAAGGGTTGGGGGGTGAGGAGGCTTGGTTATGAAAAGTTTTTGGGAACGTTTGGTGATGAAAGTATAAATGAGAATGGTGAAAGCCTCCTCACCGTATGTATGGAAAAGAATCTTTTTGTGACGAACAATTTCTTTCGCCACAAGAGGATTCACATGTATACTTGGGAAAGAGGTGATGATAGAAGCATATCATAATTGTGGATGAAAGATTGAGGTGCGCAGTGGTAGATACAAGGGTTTACCGGGGGTCAAACGTAGGAACGGATCATTATTTGGTTTTATGCCGAATAAATGGTCTATTCAGGTGTTGGCGCCATCGGTCATCTGTGTCTACCACTGCGTTACAGCGTATTAGAACAAAAAGGTTACAAGATGAAGGTGAGAAAAACAAGTTTAAATGTAGACTGAAAGAAAACATAAGTCGTTTGGATGAATTATGTATGAATGAGTTAGACTTGGAGAATGTATGGCAAAATGTTAAGAAAGGTTTAGTAGATGCAGCTACCGAAGTATGTGGTGTTAGTAAAAGAAAGAATGAAAGAAAAAATACTACGTTATGGTGGGATGATGAGATACGTACAAAAGTTGAAGCAAAGAAGAGAGCGTGGCTAGATTTACTAGCAACTAAGGCTGGTAATTCTAGCGGTACGAATGATGATTTTGAAAGAAAAAAAGGCAGTCTTTAGACATCAAAATAAGAGAGTATAAGAAGTAGTTGAAAGGAAAAAGCAAGAAAGAACGGATAAAAATGGTAGAAGAATATCGGATAACTTCCACGCAAATATTAAAATGTTCTGGAAACTCGTAAGAACTGCCAGGGGACATTCAAAACAGTCTATAATGAATGCTATAAAAGATGAGAATGGCTATTAAATATTAATGGAAGTTTTGAGTTTAAAGAGATGGAAGGAATATTTTGAAAGCATGTTTATGAGTGAGGAGACAACGTATGAACTGAATGAAATAGGAACTCCGAAAGAAGAGAAAGGAGGTAGCGAGATAAGTATAGATGAAATAATGAAAGCAATGAAAAGCATGAAAGCAGGTAAGGCTGCCGGATATGATAGAGTTTCACTCGAAATGCTAAGGGCTGGAGTGGAAGTGGTGGCAGGCCTGCTGCACACCTTGTTTAATTTATGCTGGGAACTGAAGCGGGTACCGGGAGACTGGTGCAAAGCCGTGATAGTCCCAGTATATAAGGGAAAAGGGTCGCAGTAGGACTGTAAAAACTACCGCGGTATCAGCCTTCTTAGCATCGTGGAAAAACTGTATGCTAAGGTACTGATTGAAAGGGTCATGAAAGAAACTGATGGAAAAATTTGGGATGTGCAAGCGGGATTTAGAAAGGGAATGGGATGTACAGATCAAGTCTTCTCCATGCGCATGATCGCGGAGAAGTTTTTGGCCAAAAACCAAAAGGTTTTTTGTGTGTTCATGGACTTGGAAAAGGCCTATGACAGAGTTGATAGGGATGTGCTATGGCAAACACTGAAATCATTTGGGTTGAGCGCAGGCTTGATACAGGCATTGGAGTCTCTTTATAGGGACTCTTGTGCTTGTGTTAGGATCAACGGGGTCTACTCGGACTGGTTTGACATCCATAAAGGTGTCAGACAGGGCTGTGTGGCTTCCCCGTGGCTGTTCAACCTATTTATGGACAGTTGTTTGCAAAATTTGAAAGTTTAAGAATGCGGATTAAGAATGGGTGAGTTAACCGTCAAATGCCTTTTGTACGCCGATGATCAAGTTATTCTTGCGTCGTCTGCGGCTGAGTTGCAGAAGATGGTTACATTAACGAACAGATCATTAAAAGAAAAGGGTATGAAAGTGAACGCAAGTAAGACTAAAGTTATGGTTTTTGAAAGAGATGAAAGTAAAACAATATGTGAAATAAGAATAGAAGGGGAGTTGATCGAGCAAGTAGATGAGTTTGTATATTTGAGTTGCGTATTTAGCAGGGATGGGAGATATGATTAGGATATAGAACGACGAGTGAACGCAGGAAACAGAGTAAATGAGGCCCTACACTCTATTGTGAAGAGTCAGAATGTGTCAAAAAAGGCACATATGGCAATTCACAATGCTGTGTTGGTTATAGGAGTACCCTTAACCGACTTGCATATATGCGTAGGTATATGGATGTGAAGGAGGCGAGAGAGGTGTGTCAGGATCGTGCCAAATGAAAGTCTGTAGTCTCTGCCTACCCCTCTGGGTGACAGGCGTGAGTGTTTATGCATATGTTATGTATTATGTATATTTAATTACGTATTAATTAAAAGTTATAAAAGGCCTTGCGTGTCGGTTGACTCCTTGTTGCCTACACAGTCACGGAAAATGCTCCTGAAATGAAGTAAAAATATATTTCGAAACGAAAGTCGAAACCACCAGCTTTAGTGGAAAATTGGTTGGCAACATTAGGCAACACTGAATATCAGCATGCGCCGAACGCGCTGCATTAAATGACGTCATCAGCATGCGTCCTTAAATATTCGTAACCTACCTATCGCATTTTATAAAATGCGGCTCGTACGGTGCGGTTATAATTTGCGAGGATTCATTGTATGATTGTATACACTGTGCGCGCCATACGCGCCGAATGCGGGTGCTGACAAATGTGCGTTCAGCTTTGTATATATAGAGGCTTATAAAACCTTATATAAAACCTTTTGTGATACATTTTGATTACAATTTATTAAACCACCTTTTAAAAATAATATATTTGGGCTGTTATCTTGGTGTATTATATACGTATGGCTTATACCCTGATTGTAATATATTTGCCATATAAGATTTTGGGTGATTAATTATCATTTTCATATCTCTAGATGGGAGCTTCTGGCGGTTCAGACAGTTCCGATGATATGGAAGGCTGGGTGCCAACCTTCGTCGCCATTACCGATCGCGAGTTGAGGTAAGTTAATGTAATATATAAAGTAAATTAATGAATAAAGTAAAAGTTCACTGTCTAACAATCGCGCCAATTGCCTTAATTATGTGTGTAGGGTGCTCAATTAAAGGATTCTCTCTGAAAAGTAGGGAAATTCTATGAAATGGTACCTCTTTGCATAGAAGTGAAGTTCCAAAATTATCCCACTATATATTTTTGCTTTTAGGCAATGTTTATTTTTTATCTACGCTTGATTTGACGGGTCTTCTTTATGTAGCGTTTTATTCTTGAGTGTTAGTAAGCAAAATAATTTATTTACAAGAAAATTATTTAAATATATAAATTACATAAGTTTTTAGAAAGCAAATGAATGAAATTGGGTGCTTAACATCGTTCCGAACAGTTATACAAAAATATGTAGGTAATAAAACGATAAATTATAAGCATAATTAGATGGTTTTTATATCTGTTGTCCTTGGGTCATTCATAAAAACATTTTTAAACTAAAAAACGAAAGCTAATGCTTTTACTATAGCAAGAACGAAACGTTTTTAATTTTTTTAATTAAGAACTTTGACTTGGACGCTTGTCATTTTAGCCACGTCTACATTTCATTCAAGATCTTCGTTTTTATGGATTTTTTCTTCACAATATACTGATGCGTCACCATGCGAAATTTTTGGGAGATATTGACGACGACTCAACTAACGAACAGTCGATGACGATAGCCACTCAAGTTCATAAGACGCCTAAGCGATCAAAATAAATTGAGGTTTATATCTACATCGAAGCAGTTGTTTCGTAGTCTAACAGATCACGTGCGCAGACACTTAATACACAAAATCGCATCACTTTCATCAAAATCAATTTCAAGCCATTATTTAAACAATAAAACAGGAGCAACAATCCGTCGATGTTCAAGGTCCTACTAAAACCACTACGTTTTTACATATTTTTCTGTATTTTGTTTATGGCAATAGATAATGAACGCTATTTTTATAATAAAATATCCTTTATTACTAAAATAATCATAATGTTGAAACATGAGGCGAATCTGTAGATTTTTTTTTGAATAAAAGGAATATATTTTGTAAAAACGATTGAATAGGCTATATTGTTAAAAAAAAAACGTTTGAATATTATCTAACACGACTGAATAGGCCGTATGGTCATTGATCATTGCCTGTTCCGAAGGAGACTTAACTTGGTAACTTCAAGTTTCAACTTGTCATGCGCATTTGGCATTATGGCTGTGTTTGTAATTTCGTGTTTTTACTTTCGTGGATTTAGTTAAGTTGACCCTTGGCTTTTCTCTTGGATTACAGAGCAATAAATACTTGGGTTATGAGAGGAATAGAACAGATAATTTACAGCCTTCGGCTGCTTTTTTAGATAACATTTTATAATTAATTGCAAAAAATAATTTAACAATTAAAATAAGTTGAGTTTTATTTTACTTTATTTCAAATTTTCAAATTTCTACAAAACAGCATTTTTTGTATCCTTTTCAATTTATTTAAACAACTGATCACGAGAATGAGTGATTTCACTACATAACCTACAAATCATAAAATATAAATTAAAATAAAACCCCAGAGTCTGCAAGAATATAATTTATTAACATACTTATCAAATATTTAAATCCTCAAAATAAGACATATTTTAACTTTGTTCACGCCGGGCACAAACTTGTATGAAATCAAGTTCATCTCCTTTGATTTTCATTTGACTTTGTTCCTTACATATTTTTTATAATTTTAACCGTGCTATCTCGAATTTTGTTGCCAGTCCGCTTGCCAAGTTTGATGACTGGCAAAATTCCGCTATGAGGCAATCTGTGGGGCAAGCCTATGTTCAACAGTGGACATGTATAGGTTGTAATGGATGAATGAACCTCATAAGACCTATTTTATGATATACTATAGAATATATTGTAGAATGAAATATTAAATGAAATATAACATCCGCAATATACTCCTCTGCGACACCCCTGTACTAAAGATTAGTAAACATGGTATTGGTACCAGACATTTCGGTCGGAGGACTAAGAAATATTACTCTGTAGTAGTGATTTGAAGAAATTGTAAATTGCCCTCCTTGTAACACTTTTTTACATGCGAACAAACGAGCATGTGGCTCAACTGATGGTAAGTGACTACCGCCGCACATGAATAAATGCAACACCAGAGGAATTGTAGATGCGTTGCCGCCCTTAAAAAAAGAGTAGGCTCTTTTCTTGAAGGTCTCTAAGTTGTATCGGTCCGGAAAAAATCGCAGGCGGTTGTCGATTCCACAAGGAAGTTGTGCGAGGAAAAAAACGGTATCTCAAGCTCTGTCGCGATGTGCGATGGTGAAATTGGGCGGCTGGAATTAGTCCGAACACTCCTCTGAGCACTCCACGTGGTAAATACGATAGAATACGCAAAGATATGCAACGTCTTTTCGCATTGTCAGTGAGTCAAGCCGATGAGAAAGCGCTCGTTCGCCGACGATTCTACCGCTCTGCGCTGGAAGCGATCAAATGGAAGGAGCTGGTACTGGGGAGCCCCGGCCGGAGGAGATGGGAACAGTATTCCATGTGAGGCCGAACCTGCGCCTTGTGAATTTGTAGGAGGTACACCGCCATGAAATATTGTCCCGCTCTGCTTAGCACGCGAAACTTTTTAGAGGCCAATTTGGCCCTCTCTTTTATGAGACCACAAACGTGCACGTCATTCGATATGTCGATACCGATGATTCACATACTGGCTGAGGCAACAAGGAGAGTGCCCTAGAACAGAGGAGATACGACAAAGGGGTTCTATTTTTTAGGTTATAGCGGTAAACGCACAAACTTATGCCGTCTAGGTATTGAACTGGACTAGATTTATTGGCCCCCATTCCGAGATTTTATCAATGTTCCAATTCAACAATGTCTCGACTTGAGACATAAGTTTGTTCCGATACTCGGTGACGTTTTCCCAAAAAAATTGGCACGGCCGGTGTATACCATTACATAACATAATGTAAGCATTACCAGCGCTGTCGTCCGCATAGCAATGCATATTATCGGTTTGCAACATATCACTGATATACAGAAGAAGCAGCGTTCGCAATAGCACGCAGCGCCATCAATCCATTTGTGGAACACCATCGTTAATAGCCTTGTAATAGGAGTACGCACCGTCTACTACAACTTTGATGCTTCGATCAGCCGTAAAACTGGTGTAAAATTTCCCGGGAAGCCCACTGGAAGGAAGCTTCGAGAGAAGCGCTTTGTGACAAACCCGATTGAAGGCTTTCGATATGTCCAAACTAACCGTCAAAGCCTCTCCCTTGAACTCGATCGCCTGCACCCATCGGTGTGTTAGATAAACAAAAAGATCACCAGTTGAGCGACCCCACGGAGAACGTACTGGCAGTCACTAGTCAGCTGTGCTCTTCAAGATACTGCATGAGCTGGCTGTTAAGAATGTACTCCATTACTTTGGAGGATAAGAAGGTGATGGCGATAGGTTTGTAGTTGCACGAAAGTGGTCTTCCAGGAATTCGGGACTACGTCTGGGGCGTAGGAGTACCGCAAAAGACGCGTTAGAACCGGTGCTACCTCACCTCACCGGTCAATCTCAGCACAGTTGGGGGGATTCCGTCAGGCCCAATCGACTTCTCGATGTGCAGGAAGAGGAGTTCTTAACGTACTGAGCGCTGTGTGAATCGCACATCAGGCATAAAGCACTTACACCACAGGATGGTCTGCAGTGTGTTCCCTCCGTCATCGAGAGTCGAGTTGGACGCCAAAAGGGAGCCTAAAGGCTCGGCTTACTCTTGCAGCGTGGGCCATTAAGTCATCCTCCCTGTGCAGAGATGGTAGTGATGGCTTACAGAAATTCCCTTGGACATCCTTGAAAACCAGAATGCACGGGTTCCCGAAGGAAGGCGAACAAATTTCTCGTCAATTCTGTCAATGTGCTCATACTTTGCCTTGGCAATAACTGGACCTAGAGAGATGATGGAATACATATTGCCTGACAAATACTGAAAAAAAAAATTTTATTTGTAAAGTTTATGTGAATTTTTATTAGGATTAAAGAAAAATTATAAACTCTGAGTGGTATGTGGTATCGGCACTACGTTTCCTAGTTGTCGTGTAAATACGTAATTTGAATGTACACATGTATACATTAAATGTTTGTAGCGCAGTCGAATTTAGTAGTAAATGCACTACAATCTCATATTATTCGCTGTTTGGAGCGAGTTTATCCATCTAGACATGTATATAATCAACATTTCCACATCGGCCACCCTACTGGTTTTATTAAAATTTATTTAAAAATTGTACAAAAAAAGTAAAAAAGTAATATTTTCCGAACCAGTGGTAATTAAAAATACTTTTAATAAGTATTATGTAATAATTTACAATTAATATAAAAATCAATTGCTGTACGTAAGTCTTGCTAAAACTCGATAACGGCTTGAACGATTTTGATGTAATTTTTTGTGTGTGTTTGAATGGGTCTCTTCGTGTGGTGTGGTTTAGATTCACAATTGGACCCGCTGTAAGTTGCGCTGTTGTCGAGATCCAGAAAACACCCGTGCGAAACCGGGGCAATAAAAATGGTTCTATTTAATGCGCATCGTGACGCGCAGATTGTACGAGGCGGCGCCGTGGTCGGCGGAGGCGTGGTGCGCCCCCACAGAGAACTTCAACCTGGCGGCGACGCGGCTCGCGTGGTGGCGGCGCGGCGGCTCGGGGCCGGGCTCGGGCGAGGAAGCGGAGGGCGGCGGGGCGGGTGGCGGGGCGGCTGCGCTGGGCGTGCGCGCCGGCACGGCGGGCGGGCTGTGCGTGCGCGCGCTGCGGGCCGACACGCCGCACGACCTGGCCGCGGTCGCGGGCGCGCTCGTCGACGGCGCTCATCACGCGGTGCGCGCGCAACCCGAGTTCACTTTCCGTCAGTACCTTTTGTTGCTGTTTTTGATGTGAAAATTTCTTTAGTCACACACTATATCAAATTAGTAGTATTTATTGATAGATTAATTTCATATCTTAATATATATAAATTACGTGTCACGTTGTTTGTCCGCGATGGACTCCTAAACTACTTAACCGATTTTAATCAAACACCTTGTGCAATTTGGCCCAACTTTGGAGATAGGATAGTTTTTTTGCCCATGAGTGACCCACAATTTTTTTTTGCGTATTGAGGTTTTTTATAGGACATGACAAAGGGCATCGCTAGTGTTAATGTAAAAAAAGTAAAATATCAGTGTCATATACATCTTCTCGTCAGGTATACCTCAAACTCCTAAAACTAGATTGTACAACCAGTGCGTGTTGCCAGATCCGTAAGTCATCTTACGGACGTGACATCGACATCGTACGGACAACGGAGACGTGGTCCTTCACTGCTGCCCGTATGGGGACGCTCAAGATCGAGCGAGCTATGGAGAGGGCTATGATCTGGGTTTCTCTGCGTGATAAACTCAGAAATGACGATATCCGCAGTAGAACCAGAGTGACCGACATAGCCCAACGGATTAGTAAGCTGAAGTGGCAATGGGCCGGCCATATAGCTCGAAGAACCGATAACCGATGAGGAAAAAAGGTTCTCGAGTGGCAGCCTGTACCGGTAGGCGTAGTGTAGAGCGACTACTCACTAGACGGAGTGACGACCTGGTAGGACATGCAGGCGGTCGATGGATGCAGGTGGCTCAGGACCGTGCTTTGTGGCATACCTTGGAGGAGGCCTATGTTTAGCAGTGGCAACTTGTGAAGGGCTGTAATGATGATGATGATGAATCTGTGAGAGCGTGGTCCTACCCCGTCGAGCCGATTCATTCGTGCTACAACCATAATATAGTTGCCTACTATACCTTTACCACGTACGAACGTTTTTAAAAGTTAAAGCAAATTACTAATACAGTCCTTGACTGCCTACATGTTGGTGTAGTATTTTTACGACTGTCATTTACATGCGACTGTCAATCATGAGGTTTCGGACTTGCATCCAAAAAAACTGGTTCTCTGTAGCAACTTAAAACTATTTTTTGATGTCAGTAGAAGCAAGTAAAGCTCTATTGACCTTGTGCATAACCTTTCTCTGGCGTAGATGGCAAGTCTAGGGTAATATTTAACTATTTAGATAAAATTTAAAAATTAGAATACAAGTTATTTCTGTTTTTATAACTTTGCTATTGTCTTTTATCTTATCTAAGTTCGAACGCCGAACGTCGAACGCTGTATGGTGTTTATCTATTGACCTTGTGCATAACCTTTCTCTGGTCATGTAGGTATGCGTGTTGTGTATAATTATATAGAGCGTAGGTGGCTAGTCTAGGATAATATTTAATTATTTAGATAGAATTTAAGAATTAGAATACAAGTTATTTCTGTTTTTATAACTTTGCTATTGTCTGTTGTTATCTAAGTTCGAACGTCGAACGCCGTATGGTGGTTAGGTAAGAGAATCGAGTACAGTTTGCCGACGTAGTGTGTGCGCAGGGTGCCGGTTCCGCGGCGTGTGCGCGCGGCTGGCGCTGGGCGCGGGTGGCGTGTGCGTGTGGGAGGCGGCCGGCTCGCTGGGCCGCGGCGGTGCGCGTGCGCTCTACCGCCGCCCGCTGCACGCGCTGCGCGCCTCCGCCGACGACGACCGCGCCGCGCTCTGGCTGCACTTCGCCGACGACGACACGCTCGTACGTACCGCAGCTGCACGCTGCATACATACTGCACACTCCGCCGACGACGACCGCGCCGCGCTCTGGCTGCACTTCGCCGACGACGACACGCTCGTACGTACCGCAGCTGCATGCTGTATACTGCATGCTCCGCCGACGACGACCGCGCCGCGCTCTGGCTGCACTTCGCCGACGACGACACGCTCGTACGTACCGCTGCTGCACGCTGTATACTGCATGCTCCGCCGACGACGACCGCGCCGCGCTCTGGCTGCACTTCGCCGACGACGACACGCTCGTACGTACCGCAGCTGCACGCTGCATACATACTGCACGCTCCGCCGACGACGACCGCGCCGCGCTCTGGCTGCACTTCGCCGACGACGACACGCTCGTACGTACCGCTGCTGCACGCTGTATACTGCATGCTCCGCCGACGACGACCGCGCCTGCGCTCTGGCTGCACTTCGCCGACGACGACACGCTCGTACGTACCGCTGCTGCACGCTGTATACTGCATGCTCCGCCGACGACGAACCGCGCCTGCGCTCTGGCTGCTCTGCGCCGACGACGACACGCTCGTACGTACCGCTGCTGCACGCTGTATACTGCATGCTCCGCCGACGACGACCGCGCCGCGCTCTGGCTGCACTTCGCCGACGACGACACGCTCGTACGTACCGCAGCTGCATGCTGCATTCCGGGTGGGATGTCTCAAGTGTATAATGTCTAACTTCCTTGCGATATGTCACAACTGTAAAGTAGGTTTACTCGGGGATCACGGTATGTTTACATCCCGGGTGGGAGTCATTCAAGTGTATAGTGTTAATTGGCAATAGCATAAAAGGTTTACATCCCGGGCGCGATGTGTCAAGTGTATGGTGTGTAACTTACCGGATGAGATGTACCAAGTGTACCGTGTGTTTACATTCCGGGCGGGATGTCTCAAGTGTATAATGTATAACTTACCTGGCGAGGTGTCACATGTGTACGGTGACACCGACAGCGACTGCGCTGTCTTCTGGCTGTAATTTGGGGACGACCTTTGACTCTTGACATTTTTGAAATGGAGGCGCTGATACTGTCCTAGCGTAGTTAGAAGAAGGCGTAAAGCCTTGATGACGTTGGTAAGTTTTAGGACGCGGGGGCCTGCAGTCATGTAGTAGATGGTGTTAGACTTGCATCATATGAACTCAGCTTCTTGTCTACAATTCTTCCTTCTCTTCACTTTAAAAATTTGAAAGGGATTGTGAGAAGACTCGCCCCTATTCGACATCTTTTTATTACGATTAAATTAGTAAAATGATGTTAATGTTGTTGTTGGAAGCAAATGATCTCCCTTTGAGTTTTCACGTACCTCTCATCTCTGTGTATGTGACTCCACCAAAGAAAATCCAATGAGGCGGCCAAAAGTATGTCGCTCTTTGAAAGTGCTGGCACCTGGGGTTTAGACATTGTACACTTAGATATCCCGCCCGGGAAATTACACGCTGTACACTTCAGAGATCCCGCCAGAGAAGTCTACACACTCTACACTTGAGAAATCCTTCCGGGAAAATTTGCGACACTGTATACTTGAGACATTCCATCTGGGGTTTATACATCGTGCTTTAGAGACCTACTGATTGGGAAGTTTTTGACACTGTACACTTAAGGCATTCAAACCGGCAACTTACATACTGTCCACTTGTGAAATCCCGCTAAGTTATCATAAGAGAGTATATTGACATCCCTCTAGGTTTTATACACCGCGCACTTGACACATTCCGCTCTGGATGCTTATACACCGTACACTTAAGAGATCCTGCCCAGGAAGTTATACACCGAACACTTGTGAGATCCCGCATGTGAAGTCTACACACGATATACTTGAGACGTCCCGTCTGGGATTTATACACCGCATACTTAAGACATCCCGCCTAATGTACTCCGTACCAGTTTTTACACAGTACACTTGAGAGCTTGAGACATCCCACCCGGGATGTAAACATACCGTACACATGTGACACCTCGCCAAGTAAGTTATACATTATACACTTGAGGCATCCCGCCCGGAATGTAAACACACGGTACACTTGTGAGATCTCAACCGGTAAACTACACACCATACACTTGAGACATCCCGTCCGGGATGTAAACACACTATACACTTGAGACATCCCGTCCGGGATGTAAACACACCATACACTTGAGACATCCCGTCCGGGATGTAAACACACTATACACTTGAGACATCACACCCGGTATGTAAACATACCTTACAGTTATGACATCTCGCCAGGTAAGTTACACATTATACACTTGAGACATCCCAACCGGAATGTAAACACACCGTTCACTTGTGGCATCTGGCCCGGTAAGTTACACACTATGCATACACTTGAGACATCCCACACGGGAAGTAAACCTAATTTACAGTTGTGACATATTGCCAATTAAGTTACACATTATACACTTGAGACATCCCACCCGGAATGTAAACACACCGTTCACTTATGGCATCTGGCCCGGTAAGTTACATACTATACATACACTTGAGGCATCCCACACGGGAAGTAAACCTAATTTACAGTTGTGACATATCGCCAAGTAAGTTACACATTATAAACTTAAGACGACGAACTAACTTTTCTGCTAGAATTTTAACTTATAGTACCTGACTCTGAGCACTAAACCATTAATACAACTGGTACGACACAATCAATGAAAAAAAATCCCTGAGTACGCATGAGAAACAAAATTGTCTTTATAATTTTTTAACACTTCCATTGTATCTCTATTTTATTTTTCTAGGAATTGGACATGGAAGGCAGCCCAAAGCCAGCCGTTTTCATCCTACACAACCTCCTTTCAGCGCGTGTTCACTCGCTGCCCGGCGAAGAGGTCGCCAATCCGCTATAACAAGAACACACACCAGGTGATACGGACGTAGCCTCGATTTATACACCGTTTTTATATTCGTAATGTATTACGTTCAATTAACGTCTCATAATGTGGAAATTAAAAATATGTTCAGTTTTATTACTGATAAATGATAATACATAGTGTAACACGAGAGCATGCCTTCTTGAGATATTTTACAAAACGTTAACCACGCTAAACGACGAATTCAATGTTAAAAATTAAACGATATCAGGCGATTATGTTATATTATTTTAATTAATACTAAAGCCTAATAAGTATTTAAATATTAAGTATTAAAATTTAATAGAATATGTTGTAGGAAACTGAAAAAATGCATTAAAAGTGATAATCGATTAGTAGAGAACAAAATGGTGCGTGTACAGCTCCGACGCGTGACTGGAGTTTACTCCTGAAAAACGATTGTGTTAAAACATATATTATGTAAATGTAAATATATCAAGTGATATAAATAAAAATCAAACTTAAAATTCTTTGAAACTCCACAAATTGACGTTTGATATTGTACATTTATACTGAATACTATAGTCAAATTATAGAGAGACAGAGTGAAAAAAAAAAAGAGTAAATGTATACTTGCCAATTAGGAGTGGGGAGCGCTATTAAATGCGCGAGTATATTGCACAGAGAAAAACCATTACGGCTTCACTTTTTGTTAACGCTTGATTTTACTACTCATCTTTTTTCATACCGTGTTCCATATATGAAACAATTCTTAAGGAGTAAACTCCAATAAACTCTAAAAAGCTGAGCAGTTTTTTCTAATCAAATAATCTCAAGATCGCAGTGTCCAATATTATATAAAAGTGGCCGACATTGATACACCATAACAACTTGTGGATACACCATAAGAACAAGTTCCACAATAGATGTGTTACGAGTGGCATAATTTATTCCATGGGCAATGAAACTAACATAATAATTAAGATGCTCTTTGTGCAAGTAAGTCTTTTTAATTTTATGGTAGAAATTACATGAAACAGAAATTACAGTAACCCCTGTGTCTACCTCTCAATAATTCCTTTTTTTTATACACATACCATAATAATTAGTTAAGTTTTACTAATAATTTTATTAGGTTAGTTATATTTAAATCCCATTTTAACATGCACATTTTGTTACTTTAATTTTATTTCAATAATATTTTCATTGCTGGTAGTAACTTTATGGAGATGTACCTCGCTCCACTGAACTGATTTAGACATTAGATGATTTATTTATTTATACATTTTAATGTGAATTGAATAATGGGATATATTTGTTACCAAAAATGTATTAATATTGTCTATTAAGGGCGGAATGGGATTACGTTGACAGCTCGAATAATTTGTGTTTCTAGAGGAATTTCATTTTGCATTTATTTCTAACATTCCAGTTATGGGTTTATGATTAAATTCATTTTATATTTAAATTCAATATTAATTCAAGAATTTTCATAATCAAGTGTACGCAGTGAGAAACTATACTATATTAATAACATATCTGTTACGCATGTTAGTGATAATCATTGACATGATTTATCAATTGTATCCATAGGAAATAACTATTTGATCTTTGACTACACACACATTTACGTTAGTTAGCTCATATAATTGACCTTTAAATACGCAAAAAATTTTTAGCGGAAATTGTCTTCACCTTTATTATTTATCGCATCATATTTTTTATGCGTAGAATGATATAACGATATAAAGACAGTCGCCTCATCTGGGAACATTAAGTGTGTAGCAGAATGTTAGCCACATGCTTGTAGCGTGTCTCTTCCAAAGAACGAATCTCTTGCGATAATAATTTGAACGTTATTTTTATAGTGCATAATTTGTTATTGATCATATTGTATTTTTGTAATTTATTTGTTGTAAATAAATAGTAGTTAGTGTTTTACGTGACCCATACATTCCCAGAATGTAGAACAATATGCATATTTGCTTTAACTAGGTAGTGTTTAACCTTGAATAATTTGTAAGGTTTTTAACAATAGTAAATTACGTAGTTACTACTATAGTGCAGTAAGTAAGTATGGGCAATATTTGTGGTGATAATGAGTCATTATTAAATTTGTTTTTACGCTGCTGTTGAAATGTAAGACTATATACTGGTATAACATTTTCTAAATTTTAATATCTGACTTCGTGTAAAATGTATATCTTTTTTTTATTTTTTTCTTTAAATCCTTTTTATAAACTGCTATATTAAGCCTTTACCTATGAAATTGCTATTTGATATAGAAATTCAAACACTTAAAATTTCATAAAAATTAATTAATTGGTGTATCGGTCATTATTTTACAATAAACAAGCATGCACCTTTGCCATAGAGATGGGCAAGTGAAAAAAATATATCGATACTTATCGTATCGATTTTTTAATCACATTTTGATTCTTAATAGAGGTTAATTGAAGATATGCCACAACATCCACTTACCATCAGGTGGACTGTGTGCTCGTTTGTCACTCTTATTTTATAAAAAATACATATATCTTCATGTTTTGCATTCCGTGGTACGATCAGGAAAAACATTTTCGGCGAAAAAACAAAGCACGTAAATGCTGTATTTGCTTAATTATTTTGTCTGATGAATTATGTAATTTATTAAATTAAATATAAAATTAATATTAAATTCATACGAATTCGATACTCTAAATGGAATATCGATATATCGCGATGAAAAAAATCGACGATAATATCGATATTTTTGAGCAAATATCGATGTTTCGATACATCGATATTTTTACCTAAGACTTCTTCGCCATTTCAATGAACCTTTCATCAATGCTCTTGCTTCAGAAATACTGGTCACGTCA